GCAATGGATGAGATGAAAGGAAATGAGTATGAATTGTTGAATGTAAAACTGATGATTTGCTCTGCAAACCTTCATGCCATTCATAATAAAAAGTTCTGGGTTTTTCAAAACTAATTTTCTATCATAGAATAAATTCTTAATTTTAAAACCAGCAAAACTTTCTTGTTCTTATAATACTAAGAAAGAAAACCAAGTTTGCAAGTTATCGTTGTGAGAACTGCGGGGAAGATTATGGTTCAGCTAAATCCCTTTCCAGAACTCAGAATTTCAAGCTCATATCGTTGTTAATGGAATTCCATTTATTTAAAGTATGAGATTGCAAAAACATTTGCATTTTCTTGCTAGCTGTCATTCAGCTGGTGTCAGCTCCTAAAGGTCATGCACTGTTTCTGGCCTAAATGGCCCTTTTGCAACAGGGTCATTTGGTTCTTCAAGGCCAACTAGAGAGCATCTGATGCTGTTTTAAACCTCTCTGGTATTGACTCTGATCCTCTTCAAAAGTGTTTGCCTGAATAGACCAGACCAAGACTGAATAACGTCCCTTGTGATTAACTGAGATAGTTCATTGGGGAATTTACTTCCTCTTTACCAGATAATAACCTAGTCGAGTCGTGGGAGTCCACCACTTGTCTAACAGTTTGTCATACTGTGATGGGTTGCGTGTTGCTGCAATGCTACAAGTGATGCCACGGGTATTTCAATGCCAATAAGGTTGTCCAGAGGGAAGAGGTTTCAGCAGAACCCCCAGGCTAAGAACAGACTACAAAGAAGGAAGAGGCAATCCACTTGAGTAATCAGCCACTGAAAACCCTATGAATAGCATGGAAACAACGTTGCCAGTTGCAGACATGCTAATGACTGGAAGCAGAACCGTGTCAGAGACAGTACCAGAAGACGAGCCCCTCGTGTCGGGAGGCAGTCAAACTATGACTGCACAAGAGCTGCCTTCTCAAAGCAGAGTCCATAATAGTGACAGGGATGGAAGAAGGCGTGCTGGAGCTGTGGGGGGTTTCATTTGATGACGGGGCATGACTTAAAGCAAGAAGAAACAGCTGCAAACAAATTAATAATTAGAACTTGGAATCTATGAAGTCTGAGTCTAGGCAAACAGAAACTCATTAAAAAGGAAACGGGATGCATAAAGATGAATATCCGAGGTGTTCATGAATTGAAGTGGACTGGTCTTGGCCACTTTGAATCAGAGATTCATATGATTTACTATGCTGGGAATGACACAATCAAGAGGAATGGCATTGCAGTCAGCATCAAAAAGGACAGTTCAAGTGCTATCTTGAAGTCCAATGCCATATGTGATAAATAATGTCCATCCCTATACAAGGAAATCTAATCAACATAACTATTATTCACATCGATGCACCAACCACTAAAGCTAGTGATGCCGAAATTAAAGAATTCTACCAACATCTTCTGTTGGAAATTGATCAGACAGTCAAGATGTATTAATAATTATCCATGATTGGAATGAAAAAGTTGAAAACAAAAAGGAAGAAACAGTAGTTGAAAAATATGGTCCTGATGGCAGAAACAAAGCTGGAGATTACATGATAGATCTTGAAAGACCAATGACTTCTTCATTGTAAATACCTTTTTTCAACAACACAAATGGTAACTGTACACGTGGACTTTTTTCTTAGTCACAGACTAACCTAAGGCAAATGGAAGAAAGGATGAAGTCAAAGAACTGAATAGAAAATGTCAAAGGTCAGCTCAAGAAGACAAAGTAAAATATTCTAGTGAAATATGCAATGATCTAGCACTAGGAAAACAAGAAGGAACAGCACACTCAGCGTATCTTAAACTGGACAAACTCAAGGAAAACGGCAAGCCTCAAATTGCAGCATTGCGAGATTCTACGGGCAAAATGTTGACTGATGCAGGAAGCACCAAAAGAAGATGGAAAGAGTACTCACAACGTCACTGTGTCAAAAAGAATGACATGACATTCGGCCATTTCAAGAGGTAGGAGACGTGCAAGAACCAATGATATTAAAGGGAGAAATGCAAGCAGCTCTGAAAGCCTTAGCCAAAAATAAACCTCCAAGGACTTCCGGAGTACCAAATGTTTCAACAAGCCAATGAAGCACTGGAAGCACTCATTCGTCTATGCCAAGAAATTTGGAAGACAGCTACTTGACTGATATTGCAAAAGTAAATTGTCTGTCTTTTCTTCAAATTGCCACTGAGTGGTCTCAAAATGCCAACCTTTCTGCTAGCCGTTGAGCTTGTTCATCATTTGCACACACACCCCAGGACTCCACTGGACCACTAAAACAGAGTCATCCAAAGGTCCCCGGACCCAAAGCCCTTCCCTCCTCCCAGGATAGTAGAGTCCCCTGAAGCAGTGCAGGGGTACAGATTCAATTCTGTATTTGATATCATCATCACCCACTCTCTTTCTGAGAAAACACTCTATCAACGCGGTGCCCTAGGTCAATGGCTTTCAAACTTCAACCTGCCTCAGAATCACCTGGGGGACTTGAAACAAATGAGCACGTCTAACTCAGTAGATGTGGTGGGGGAGAGCCCAATAACTCAATTTTTTTTTTTAAACAGGGGATGCTGATTCTGGTGGTCATTCAGGCGACCACACTTTGAGAACGATGTCTTTAGGAGACCCCTTCATGTCCCGTGGTAAATTGATGAGGGAGCTACTTCAAGTCAAGAGCATATTCAGGCCAGTTTCAAAGCAGAACTTCCAAAGGTCTTTTGCTGAATTTGTTGTGAATGCGGAAGGTGGGGGTCTTGCATGGGGACTTGTCCCATGGACAACGGAAGAAATGAAATACAGAAGGACAAGTGATTGGGCCCGTCACTGAAATGAGACCTGGGGATCCTGTCAGTTTTGTTCATTGTCGTGGAGGCAAGCTGCTGAAAGGAGCGGGCAGCAGGCAGCTGAAGGGTGACAGGGATGTTGAGAGACCGGGGTCAGCTCCTGGCCTAAGCCCCGTCGGCCCTATGAAAATGAGTGGAGGAGATGACGTTGGTCCTCTGTCATCTCAGAGGGCCCTCTTCCAGTGGTTCTCATTCTGCATGGAGCACTGGAATCACCTGGGCAGCTTTTACAAAACCAGTCCCCTCTGACACCCTACGTAAGCTACATCAGGTTTTCTAGGGCTGAGGCCCAGAAGTGGTAGTTAGTATGCTTCCCTGTGATTCCAGTGAGCCCTCAGGCTGAACATCATGGTCCTGTTCCACTTCTTAGTCTCATCACTCCCTTGCCCTACCCAGTTCTTTATAAACTACTTTGTTAGTATTCTATGCCATCGAGTCGGCTCCGACCCTGTGCACAACAGAACGAAATAGCGCACGGTCCTGTGCCCTCCTCACAATGGTTCTCATGCCTGAGCCCACAGACAAACTGACAGACAAAGGGTGGAATAAACTACTTCGGGACCGCTTATTTCTCCCTTCAGCAAACTTGCCATTGACCCAGTCTGGCTTAGTTCTGCTCTGACACCGTAGGGAGAATCCACTTGGCAGCAACTGGTTTTCATTGTTTCACAAGCTGATCTGGGAGAGCGGAGTGAAGATAGTGAAGAGGCTGCTTGCTAGGAATGTTGCTGGAACCTAGAAGGAGGCTCCCAGGCTAGGGAAGAACAAAGATTGTCCTCACAGCTACTCCCAACCTCTAGTCTGAGCCGTGGAAGTATGATAACGACAGACATTTTTTAAAAGAAAACAACTCAAAAAAATCAAAAGCAAATTCACTGGCATCGTCACTGTGGATTCATAGCGACCCTCTAGGACAGAGTAGAAGTGCCCCTGTGCGTTTCCAAGACTAACTGTTCAAGGGAGTAGAAAACCGCACCTTTCTCCTGAGGAGCCCTGGTGGTTTCAAACTGCTGACCTTTCAGTTAGCAGCTCAAAGAGTAAAATGGGCATGGTTTTAAATGAGGCTGAGGGGAAGACCCTCTCTTCTGTGTGTGCCTGTGGGAATACCACCACCCAGAGGTGCTGGGGGCTCCCTACCTCTTGGGAAGACATAGCTCTGAGGAAATGGACCAGGGAGGACACAAGCTCAGAGGGCATGGAATGGACGTGGGATGAATTATAAAGAGAAAAGGCAGTAGGATCCACCCCAGACATAGGGCGAAGAGGGGCTGGAAAGATGGGGCCAATTACCCGCCCAGTTAACCAAACAAGCTCAGAGAAATGAAGAGTCTTAACCAAGAACGTAGCCTGTTAGAAGCGGAGCATGGTGGGGAGAGAGGCTCTGGAGGGGCCGGCGTTTGAAGAAAAGGGAAAGTTTCTAAAAGGCAATTGAATTCCATAGAGGACAACAGATAGGAAAATTAAGCAAGCAAGTCGTGGCAGGCACAAGCCTAGGTGTTTATATTATGTCCATTCACTTACTCCTCTACAGCAGCAGCAGCAGCAGCATCACCATCAAGGAAACTGAGGCTAAAATTAAATTGTCTAACAACATGCAGCTAGTCAAAGACAAAGCTGGAATTCTAAGCCAGACTGTGTGGCCTCAGGGGCTCCATACTCTACCACAAACTATGCTACCTCCCCGAGAGAACCGCAGGCATTGGGCTGCCACTAGCACCCGGAGTCCAGGTAGCAGACAAGTTATGCCTATAAAAAATAAAGAAACCATCGCAAAGTCGAAAATCCATGAACCTTCCAAGGAAAAAAGCTTCTCAATTCAGTCTCGGTCTCATCTGCTTAGTCTCTTGGGAGGTGGAAACCAGTGTGGAGCAACGGATTTCCTCTTGTTGGAGTTTTACGGCATGTGTACCTATCTCTGAGACTTAGCCAAGAAGGTTAGAAACGCCAGGCAGCGGCCCCTTTGTTGGGCAGAGACCCCGAGGCCCTGGGGTTTCAAGAAGCACCGAATGTGGCACAGAGTGTCACCCAGGCAAAGAAGGTCCCAAAGATGAAGAAGCTGAGGTTCAATCTGGAAATTCACCCCAAGTGAGTTGACTCAGAACACTCTCTCTGTCGGTCTCTGTCTGTCTCTCCCCCATAGTACTTACCCACAGGTCTGCATTCTTTCACCCTGTTGCTTCTCGCCTGGGGAAGGCGGCCAAGCCCAACTTTCACCTGCAGTAGAAGCCAGCAATCAGGGTAGGGATTTATACTCCTCTGGGACAGGGATTTCCTAATTAGGCTGTGTCACTCAGCTTTGACTGGGTTGCGGGAGACACACCTTTTTCAGTACTCGTCACCCAGATGGGGAAGTGGCGGCAGAAATTCTGCATACATTTCCCTTTTTTTTTTTTTGGTAACTCGTTAAAAATTATGTATTTATTGCTGAGAGGTGTCTTGAACGTGGTATGTTTCTTTTCCCCTAAGAATGGCTCCATTAGAGGAGAAGGGGCCTTACTCATTGTTATATGAAGGAAAGGATGATTTTTCAATTATTTGTCCCCGTTTGTGGAAGTTGCCTAGCTGAGTAGTTGACATCTAGAAGAACCAATTCTGTTCTAAGTCACCTCTGTACAAAACCAAACCCAAACTCGCTGACCCCGAGTCAATGCCGACTCATAACTACCCCTGTGGGTTCCGAGAAGGTAACTGTGTATGTGAGTAGAAAGCTCAGGCTTTCTCCCATGGAGCTGCTGGTGGTTTCGAACTGCCGACCATTCAGATCTCAGCCCAATGCATAACAGGTACACTACCAGGGCTCCTAACTAATGCCTCCTAAATCTCCCTAATGGGCCCAACAGTGCTATTAAGTTTTCCCTCTCTACCCCAAATTGACCTCCATTGAGTTAGGGAAGGACAGAAATTAAGCACCCAATGCTGTTAGATTCTACACTGATCTTCACACCACTTCCCAGGGTGGGCTGAGTGTCAGTTCTGTCTTCCATTTCCTCCCACGCCTGAGGGCTTGAAATCCTATACTGTCAGCATCAGTTCAGACCATACAGTCTTATGAAGCCCTGGTGGCAGACTCATTATGTGTTGGGCTGCTACCCATAAGGTCAGCAGTTCAAAACCACTAGCCGGTCTGCAGGAGAAAGATGCGGCTTTCTACTCCTGAGGAATTACATTCTTGGAAATTCACAGGGGCAGTTCTACCCTTCCCTGTGAGGTCATTATGCGTTAGTATCGAGTAGATGACAGTAAAGTGAGTTGAGCTGAAGAAAGCTGTATGGACCCTGTCCTCTCCTTGATAAGAATGAGGAGGTGAAGTCAAGAGAGTAAAGGCTCGGCCAGTGCTTTCCTTTAAAAGGAAAGGCGCCTAGTCTCCAGCCCTCTTGGTCTTCACTTGCCTGCTGCTCCCCTTCAGTTCTTTGCTTCTTTGCCTGCTGAGTGGGGTTTAGAAGGAAGAGTCATTTGGATCCTTCCTGAAGGTGGATGGAAAAAAAGAGCAGTTTTCAAAATAGACTTAAGATCCTATCTTCTTTACGTTAGTGACACGTTGCATCTGATGTAGTGGTGACGCATTGGCCTGTGAACCTCATGGTCAGCAATTCGAAACCACCAATAGCTCCTCGGGAGAAAGACTGGGCTTTCTACTCCCGTAAATAGTCTCGCAATCCCGCAGGAGGTTCCTGTGAGTCAGCAGTGAGGTTAGTCGATATGGCACCTAGAAACAAGCTCTTGCAAGTGAAATGGTAGGTGAAGAAACTCTTAATAAATCTTAATAAACTCTTAATAAATCTTAAGAGTTCTCTATTGGAAACAAATGACTTTAAAGGGGCGATGGGAAGGAAATAGTGGACTTGATGCTAAAGGGGTATTTTGTTACTGATAAAGGGCAAAAAAAATTGGAAATGGATAGTGGTGACACAACAGAGTCAACATAATTAACACCACTGAATTGCGTGCATCAAAATGCTTGAAGTGGTCCGTGTTTTGCTTTCTATATGTACCCCCACACAGACACAAGTCAAAAACACTCATTTGCCCTAATGTTATCTTTTTTCTCCCAGGGATCAAAACTCAGATTGGGTAGAGAAAAATGTAAATTTGGAGCAAGAGGGACATTGAGATGTGATCAGATCCAAGCAGAACACATTGAGCTCCAGGCACTTAGAATGCTGGTCAAGGAGCTCTATTCATTTCACCATCTTTGGAGTTTGTTGGGCAAGGGGCAAACGTTACAATTTACCCGTGTTTATTCTTTTATTCCAGGGACCAGTTGTGGGTGGAATATCTACTGTCATTTAATAATTGATGACCAGTGCCCATATATCAATGTTATGGTGACTTGTCTGTTGCTAGGATACTGAAAGCTACGTACTAGCCTTCCAAATACCAGTAGGATCCTCCATGGCGGACAAGTGTCAGTGATGCTTCCCGACAAAGGTATGATAATCTACTTCCCAAAATCAGTCCATGAAGACCCTATGGATCACAACAGAATATTGTCCAATAGAGTGCTGGAAGATGAGCCTCCAGGTTGGAAGACATTAGTGGCCATAAGGGAATGCCAATGATCATGACAATAGTGCGGGATTGACCAATGATTTTTCCTTCTATTGCACATAAGTCAGATCCAAATTGACAGTAACTAGCACAAGGCTGGAGAGTAAACTCTCCATTTTGGATCAAGCCTCATAAGTTTCAAGGTTATGAATTCACCCCAGGACAAAGATTTTTTTGACCAAAATCCTCTGGTCCTTCCTGAAAGGAGGACATGGCAATAATCAAGTCCTTCTCTCCCTAGCCTCCCTGTGTTCACTCAGACACGTCACTCCCAGCTGGCCTGACCTACTGTCTACGGTTCACTCGATTTCAGACAGTCCACACCTTAATATCTCCAGTGAGAGAAAGTGAAATCGGACTTTGCCCATACTTAAGGGTAAATGCTGATCTTATGATCCATAAAGAGGGATTTACATAACTTTGCTTCATTCTATGAAAAAACACAGTCACAGAGTCACAAGCTGTCTGTCAAGAACGAATGCTTCGGAACTATGTGTGACCTCCTCCCTGGGGGACGGACAACAGAAAAGTGGGTGAAGGGAGACGTCGGACAGGGCAAGATATGACAAAA